ACATTGGTGTGAAATAAATTTTGAGAAATACAAACAAGTAAGAAAGGCCATGACTTTGCACTAGCAGACAAAGGAGAGCATAAAGCATTGCAGTTCAAGAACTCAGAGGTAAGAGTGGGTTTCCCCAAGGAAACACCAATCTCAGAGACAATACGTGCAAAGAGCAGGGGTAAGCTGACAGGTAATTGTTATGGTTAAGTCATTCAAGAGCTGCAGTAGAAACAGCTGGGACAGGTGGGCTCTTTTTCCCTCCCTCTCCCTTCCCCCATGAACCCTTAGTCAGCAGCAGCATTTGGCCTTTGCCCTCTGGCTAAAGGTGCCAGATGTGGGCTCTGGGGAGTGTGCTAAGACCTCCACAAAAGACAGGAAAAAGAAAACAAAAGAAAAACCAGCATCAGTCAGGAGTGAAACCCTCTAAAGGGCTTCACCCCAGAGAAAATCCCTCCTTGTTTCATCAGTTGTGGGGGTCCCTGGTCTTCCTGCCTCTCCACCCACATAACCTAAAGGGAAGCCTGCCTGTTGACAGGCTCTACCCACTGAAACAGAACCCACAGTCAGCCCTCCCATTCCGAAGAATGGTTTGTGGGGGGAAACAGAGCAGTGCAATTGCAGAGGAAAACCTAGGCTGTCTGCCCATAAAAGTGAACATAATTTTTCATTCATAAATATGACCAGACAACCACGGGTCATCAGGCATTTGAGGAAAACTATCAACATGAAAGAGAAGAACCAAAATAAACAAATGGAACTGACCCCAAAGGAAAGAAAGATAACTAAAGGAACAGAAGAAAACTTAAAACAAATATATTATGCTTTATATCACCAGAGAAGATAGCCAGTGTTATTCTATCAGATTAGATACAATGTTGAACAACTCCTCTTTCTCTCCCCTTAAAAGAAAATTTAGTAAATTGGCAGAGATTTACTAATTCCTTACCATGTGGCAGGAAGCAAGGATGTTCAGTTTTTATTTTTTATTTTTTTTTATTTTTTTTTTTAATTTTTAATGTTTTATTTATTTCTAGGAGAGAGAGAGAGCGTGAGCAGGGGAGGGTCAGAGAGAGAGGGAGTCACAGACTCTGAAACAGGCTCCAGGCTCCGAGCTGGCAGTCAGCACAGAGCCCGACGCGGGGCTCGAACCCATGAACCGCGAGATCATGACCTAAGCGAAAGCCGGGCACTTAACCGACTAAGCCACCCAGGCTCCCCAGTTTTTATTTTTTAATTGTCTCTTTCCTCTAGGAGCCCATGGTAGGGAAATCAAACAGGTCAGTTATGAGTTTACACGGCAAATGCAATGATAGATTAAGCACAGAAGGTAGATTAAGATAGATTAAGCCTCCCACCTTGTCTGCTGGGAGGGGATATTTCAGTAGGGGCATCTCTTCATCAACCTTAATGGATAAGGGCAGAGGTGTCCAAGAAACAGCTTGAGCAGGTTGTGAGAGATGAAGGCAGAAAAGTGGGCAGGGGACACAGATCACGTTCTGGGCTAAGAACTGAGATGCCGTGCTCTGGGCCAGGGTTTTCCAGACATGTTCAGGGAAAACAGTCCGTGTGAGGCCCTTTGCAGAACAAACAAAATGCTGATACATTTAACTCTTTCATATGTACTGGAAATAATTTTCCTAGCAGAAACTATGACTGTGTTCTAGGTTATCAATATAAAATCACAACCACAAGCACAGTCACACCAAAAACAAACTGTTGAAGTATGATCCATTGTTTTTTGAATTTTTTCCTTGATACTTATTTGCTGCAATGCCATCGTTAGTTAGCAGTAAGGCAGTAGTAAAAAGGAGGGCCAGAGATTTAAGAAGATTTTGGATAAGAAAAAAACTGAAAAGTGAAACAACCTACTAACTTAATTCTTTCTGTGAACTAAGAAAAAGATGATTATTATTTGACTTTGGTTGTAGGCCACTTTCATGCACTCCATAGATCTACAGATTTCTTGAAAACTAAGTTTAAGAATCACTTCTGGATGCATTAGGTAGCTGCAGATTTTTTTTTAATATGTATTTATTTTGAGAGAGAGGGAGAGAGAGAGAATCCCAAGCAGGCTCCACACTGTCAGTGCAGAGCCCGACGCAGGGCTCGAACCCACGAACTGTGAGATCATGATCTGAGCTGAAATCAAGAGTCGGATGCTTAACCGACTGAGCCACACAGGTGCCCCTAGGCAGCTGAAGATTTTTAAGGAGGGCCCAACCCCAGGGCCAGGCCACTATTTCTTGGAGGAGAGACAGGTATGGGATGTCCTGACACAAAGGACGTTTGATACAGAATCAGTAATCAGAAAATAAAGCTCGAGCTTGGAAGGTGGAAAGGTAGCCAGTTGTTGCAGAGGACCAGGCAGAAGGATGGAAGAAAGAGCCTTCCAGGATTGAAGTGCAAGCAAGCTATTCTGGAGCTAATCCCATTCGTGTTGAACACACCAGAGCACCATCAATCTGTGTCCCTGGATCTGGGGCAGAGTGTTAGGGATCAAGTCAGATTAGGCAATATGGTCAGTTATAAGATTTAGAATGAAAGTTCTGCTAGCAGTATGAAGGGTGGGTGGGGCAGGGCAGGAAGGGAAGCAAGGAGATAAATTAGGAGAATACAAGTCAGTCATCTAGGGGATGTGGGACCGGACTCTGAGGTTGACAGGAAAAACGTAATGGCAATCAAGAAGCTTTGGGGAAGAAGAAGCCACTGGGATTGGGGAGGGCTCTGGGCAAGAGAGAGGGAAGAATTGTGGCCGTCATCCAGGTCTCTGACCTAGACAATTAGGTGGGCGTAGTAGCACTCTTCCCCCAGACAGGAAGAACCTTGAGGGAGAACAGGTCTGGGCTAGAAGTGGAGTTAAGCGTAGGGGCGTGCAAATGTGAGGTGGCTTTGCAATACCCAAGTGGAGATGTTGAGAGATAGTTAGACTGACAAATCTGAAGTTCAAGGCTGTGGTTATAGATTTGGGATCTATCACAATGGTCATAGTGAAAACCATGAGAGTAGATGGGAATCACCCAAGGGAAAGTTGTAGAATGAGAAGTGGGGAGGGGAGGAGAAGGGAGGAGAGGAGGGTGAGGATGGGGAGTACCAAAGTTTTAAGGGGAACATATCAAAAACGGGGATCACACAAAGAAGTATTCTGAGAGGCAAGAGCAGAGAGCTCTCAGAAGGGTGACAACAGAATCATAGGTCAACGGACTAATAGAAAGGTCACTAAAAACAAACTCTAAAAAAGGATTCAGCCAAAACGATTGAGCTAATAATGGTGTGAGTGGTTTCCGGGGAAAATGGGGGGCAGAAGTCAGACTGCAGGAAGCTGAAGTTGAGAATGTGGGAAACAGGGAGCTCGGACAACTCTTTCTTAAAGGTGGGCACGTGAACAAAGCCTGCCTCTGCTCGCAGCTCTGCGGTGCCGTCAGCATTCCTGTCCCTGGGCAGTTGGCCGAGCTGATCTTGGCAGGGCCCTTGCAGTTCTGGCGTTCTGTAATCTTTAATCATATGAAACTGACTTTGGAGAAGTCCTCGAGCCCCCTTTTTGGCTCCCGTGATGGTTTTCCTTCAGTGGAACTAAGGTTACTTGTCTAAGAACTGAAGCCTCTGACTTGACGGATGAAAGTGGATCATGTGTATTGAAGCCACCTACTTGGTAGATGTAGTGACGAGCTGCACAGATCTGGGCCCAGGACAGGATGCTGGCGCGTGGGAGGGGGAGAGAGCAGGTGCTAACTATACAGATAGTGTGCCTAGCAGAGCACTTTGTTACATTTCCTATTTGTCTCTCAAAACAATTTTATAGGAATCACCAAAGTGATCTCATCATGGTTTCTCGACCAGGTTGGGATGTGGGGTAGGGATTTCCACAGCTGCTTTTATTTTGAAACAATCTGATAAGACGACCCAAAAACCATTGAGAAATGCATAATCCTACACACCTCAATGATTCAATTTGTTGTCAAAACTTTGGGTGTTTTTGGTGTTATTGTTCTTCTGGCTTTTACTAGTATGTACGGAGGTAACAATTATTGGGAACACTCACTATCTTCAGCTAAACAAATTCCCCCAAAGCTCAGGACCACTTGTTTGTCTCTTGCCTGACACATCTCAAAGATACTTCGTGCACATGTTTATTTGATCTTCACAGCAGCCTGCAGGCTAGGCAAGGCAGCTCTTTGGAGATGAGGAAACTGGGACCTGGAGAGGTCAAGTGATTTGCCCGAGGTCCATAGTGATTTGTTGGTGGAGTAAGGGCTAGAATTCAAGTCTCTTAACTGGAGCCTATTTTCTCTATTCTGAGCCATTATCTGACAGTTTAGAACAGTGTGTAGACAAGCAATTTGGCTAAGTCCAGCAAAGATTCCAACTTTAACCTCGATCCCAGAGTTTTGGACTGATTTCCTTCAAGACTCTACTCCTCTTGGCCTTTGAGAAATTTATTTTTCTTGAATTACCTTTCCAGCTAAATTCGATCTAATAATTGTCGGCGCTCCTTTTTGCTTTATGCCACGTAGACCCGACTTGACAAGCTGCTGGGATTTTGTTGGGTTTTAAAGATTAAAGAAATACTGAGGGGCAAGTAGGCAGTGGGACACCAGCCACAGAATCAATCCAAACTTTTGTTGACACTTGTTTCTTTCCCCATACGCCAGGTTCCCGGGTTGTATTAGTAAGATTGAAATTGAAATACGTCTGTTGCTGGTGGATGAATTTGTCACTTTCCTTGAAACTGGTGAACCCAGAAAGTTAGCGATAGGAAAAATACTGCCATTGTCTGTTAAGAAGTCTATGACATTTCAAGGCAAGAATGAATGTATGGAAGAAGAAACTTGTTTCTTCTTTACTAACAGAAGGGAAAGCCTGGAAGTGAATGATATGGGTATAATTTAAAAAAAAAAAAAAACCTTTACGTAACTTTTTTTGCCGGGAGAGAAGACTACGAAGCACATTTTCCAGGAAGTGTGGGCTGCAACGATTGTGCGCTCTTAACTAATCCTGAGTAAGGTGGCCACTTTGACAGTGTTCTCATGCTGCCGCTGCCACCTTCTCGGTCTGAAGATATCATTTCAACTCTAACACAGCATGATCGAAACATATAGTCAAACTGCTCCCCGCTCTGTGGCCACTGGACCACCCGTCAGTATGAAAATTTTTATGTATTTACTTACTGTTTTTCTCATCACCCAGATGATTGGGTCAGCACTCTTTGCTGTGTATCTTCACAGAAGACTGGACAAGGTAAGAGGAACCAAAAGCCCTTATTAATTACATTTGGGGGTCCTTACTGATGGGCAGGTTGGTTGGGTTCCGTTCTGCCCAGATGATGGACAATGGTAGGAACCCAGATGGAGAAATGGTCTTGTGGCATAATGTTTGACATCTAGTCCTATAGGACAAGGTGTCCTATTCTGGTCTCTGGAGTCAGACTGCCTGGGTTCAAATCTCGATGCTGCCCCTTATTAGCCCTGTGATCGTGGGCAAGGCATTTTCTATTTTCTATGCCTCAGTTTCCACATTTGAGAACTGGGGAAGGTAAACGTGTCCGCCCTGTAGATGAAATGAATTTAGTTTGTAGCAAGCTTAGAACAGAGCCTGGCACAAAGGAAGCACGGGGGAGGCATTAGCTATAATTATCTGCTCAAGTTTTACTTAAAAAGTAAACTTTTCTTCTGATAGAGACAACTTTTTTTTTAAATTGCCAACTAGAGGAGAGTGTGAATTTGGTCTGAGATGACATAGTGCTTCAGAGCGGCGCAGACATGGAAAAGTCCCAGAATTTGCAGTTTTATAGTAAAAGTGGTGTTCTCTCTATAATTCTGCAAACACTGATTGCAGTTGCAAGTTCCTCAGTTTCCCTCTGAGGGGTTTTCTCTTCTTAAGTGGCCGGACTCACAGGAACAAAACAGTAGAGTAACTTAGTAGGTAGTTTCGCATTCTGAGGAAAAAATAGTTGTTAGGTTTCATCCTGTCTCCACGAGTCTACCCACGTCCACTGCAGGGCATCTCATCGATCATATATGAAAAGGAGAAATTTGATCACTTATCTGGCTGTTCCTAAAAGTCTGGATGTAGGAATCGTGGGTGTACAGCCTCCAGAGACTGCATTTTCCCAGCGATGTTTGAATGCCCTCTATTGGGATGCCAGCCTAGAATCAAGGCCATGAAGGTTTTCATCAGGATAAGGAGGGGCAGTGACGGTCAAGGCCATTCACTGGGTTACCCATATTTTAGCTTGCACAGAAAAGAGGGGTGTTCTGGGTCTGTTTGTCTGTGTTTGGCCCGGTGGGCTCTGTCAATCAAATGCCTGGCCCTAAGCCTAGCCTCGATGGGTGGGGGGAGCATTGACCAAATTTACCAAAGCATTTAGGTGCTCTCTTAAGGACAGTGGGAACCGCTGGCTAATTGGATCTTGTTTTGAATCTAAAAATGTAATTATCAAACAAGAAAATGGCACAGAATTCGTTGATTATACAAGTGCATTCCGTATATTTAATTAGTCAAAGACATTGGAAAATAAAAGATCTCATTTACTTTGGGAATGAAAGATGATTTCCTAAAAAATGCAAATGTTTTCCACAAATACTAAATTTAAAAATGAAAGAGACGTAATTAGACCTTCAGTTAATTGGCACACATTGCAAATTAAATTCTCTTTACAAAGCACCACAGCACAAACTACAATGAAGTGGGCAAATGAGCTCAGCAGAAAACTATGTTATAGACCGTGCTCACAATGACCGATCATTACTAGAGCAGTGAGTGAGAGATCATTCTAGAACACTGCTGCTGTACTACATAGACAAAATGTACACTTTGTAATGAAAGTTTGTTAGAAAGGCTGTGATTTCTCCCTAGAGTCTCAGATAATATGATGTTTTAATTGCTGGCTTTGGTCGATTTTTTAACTGCTAACAGCAGATAACAAAAATTCGGTATAATAGCTTTTATTCCCCATTTATATCTGCAAGGTCCCCCTCCTGTTGCTGGTGCTGTGGAAGTGAGTGTAGAGGCAGACATCATTAGCAGCATGTCCCAGAATTAGGTTTCTCATGTCCCTGTTATTTCACAGATAGAAGATGAAAGGAATCTTTATGAAGATTTTGTGTTCATGAAAACGTTACAGAAATGCAACAAAGGAGAGGGGTCCTTATCCTTACTGAACTGTGAGGAAATTAAAAGCCGGTTTGAAGCCTTTCTCAAGGTAAGGAGCCCAGTTGCTAATTAAAGTGTCATTGAAAAGTTTTACTGCGTTTGCTAGGTTGGGAATCTGAAACCGGGTGATGTAAAAGTGCAGACATTTGTTTTATATACATACGTACATATGTGCCTACATACACACGTGGGTGTAGGCATCCCCCCACCCCCCAAAAAAGGGAAAGGAAAAATGAAGCCCAAATCCCATGTGGAAAGGGGAAGGAGAATTGGAAGTGTGCACACTCACAGGAATGTTCTTGAGAAGAACAAAAAGGCCTCTCCCAGGGAGATTACACGCTGTCATGGGCGCATTCACACACATCACGGGCTCGTATACACAGCCGCCTCTGTGAGCATTATGAAGCACACTGACTTTGTCCTTTAGTAGTTTCTTATCTTTCCATCCAAACTTCGGTGCCTTCTCACCGTGGACCTGTGGTCAGGGAGCAATAAACACTGGCCACCAAAGCCCTGGCACAGCCATGGTACGGTGCTGCCTTCACCATACTAGGCGGGAACGGTGGGTCCGCTGGGTGCTAGGGACTTCACAAGACTGATGCCCTCACACACGAAGGAATGTTTCTCTGATGACAGAATTTCAGGTGCCACGAAAGGGAGATCTTTTCCCTTTTTCGTGAGGAGAGGTGTTGGGAAAGGGGGACGGACTTCTTTGGTGCCGCTCAAACCAGACCCCACATGACACCGCTTGCCCGTGAAGCCAGTCCACTCTAGGGCTGGTCAAGACCTGAGGCAGACACAGGGCCCAGCATGAGGTCACTGGCGCCTATAACGGGGATGGAAAACAAGAGGTTTTAGAATGTTTCCTGAGGATACATTTACAACATTGGTTCCATCATCATGGAAAGGAGTCTAGAAGCTCTTTCTCCTAAAGCAGAACATCAGGAACTCTTTCTGCTTGTTTCCCTCTCAGAGCACTGAGTAAATACCCTTGGCCCTCACCTCACTTTGGGGCTGCGAATAGGAGGCAACTTTGTGCCCAGTGGGGTGGGGGTGGGGCTGTATCTGGATAAACCAACAGGAGTTAGTTCTCACATATAAATGATGTATAATTTAGGGGCACCAAGATGGCTCAGTCAGTTAAGCATCCAACTCTTGATTTCAACTCAGGTCATGATCTCACAATTCGTGAGTTCGAGCCCTGTGTCCATCTCTGTGCTGACAGCATGGAGCCTGCTTGTGATTCTCGCTCGCTCGCTCGCTCTCTCTCTGCCCCTCCCCTGCTTGCACTTTCTCTCTCTCTCAAAATAAATAAATATTTTAAACTATATATTTCTTTTTTTTTACATTTCAATTTCTTTTTTTAAATAGTTTATTGTCAAGTTGGTTTCCATAGAACACCCAGTGCTCATCCCCACAAGTGCCCTCCTCCATGCCCATCACCCCCCTCCCCTCCCCCCACCCCCATCAGTCCTCAGTTTGTTCTCAGCATTCAAGAGTCTCTCAGAGTTTGCCTCTCTCCCTCTCCCCCACCATTTCCCCCCTTCTTCTCCCCCATGGTCCTCCGTTAAGTTCCTCCTAATCCTCCTATACGTGCAAACATATGATATTTGTCCTTCTCTGCCTGACATATTTCGCTCAGCATAACACCCTCAAGGTCCATCCATGTTGCTACACATGGCCAGATTTCTTTTTTTCTCATTGCCATGTAGGATTCCATTGCATTTAAACTATATATTTCAATACATGCATACATACATACATACATAACATGCTGTGCGATTTGACCCGGGAGTAAAGGGCTTATGATATGACCTGAGCTTATACCTGTCCTCCTGCACTGTCCCCAATGTGTCATTTATTCCAAGAGTCAAGACTCTAAAGTCTATTAAGGTGTCACTACAGGAATCAGAACGCAGCCCAAGTCTGCTGCTGGCTTTTGCGTTCTTTACACTAGCCTAGGCTTTAGATGAAGACCCCTCTTTATTTTCCAGGCTTGGAAATGACTTGAGTTTCTCTGGTTCTTCAAGGAGTCTCACCAGAACCATAAGGGTTGGGAGATATTGCAAAATTAAGGGTGAATAAAGCCACTTTCAGGACAACAGTTAATCATCCAAATGGCAGATTTAGTGCGCCTGGCCGTGTGACCTTGGGCAAACGACTTCACCTCTCTGGGCCTGTTTTTTCATCTATAAATGAGAGGGCTGAGTCGATCAGCACTGACATTCTGTAATTATACGATCAGCCTTGTGTTTCCTCCAAGGCAGTGAGAATGGCTGTTGGGTTTTCTCCTCCCTCTCTCTTTCTTACTGCGAGTTTTACAGTTCAACTGCCAATTGCTAATGGCCTTATTTCAGCTCAGATTTGTAAGACTTCCCAAGTCAGCTACCCAGGTTAAGAGCAAGGAAAGCAGCCGGCTTGGCCTCTCTGCTTCTGCTTGCATGAGAAAAAGTGACAGACCTTCTTAGCATGTCAACCAGGGCTCCTTACATGTAGCAGAGGAAGCCCCTTGCCTCTACTGCCATAGGGGCGGGACCCTAGTCTGCGCCCGTGTACCTAGGATACACACGGTAGTTTGCGACACCAAGTCTTCTTCCAAAGACTGACCCCCTTTTCTATATCTATTCTCCCAGATTTCTCATGCTAAACAACATGTTGGAATTTTTAAACACTCCAACAGGCCAACTGCACAGTAACCCCAAATTGGATTTTAATATTCTTAGTGAGCGTTACCAGGCATTCTTTCTGGGTTTTAGTCTGACTGGTCCCGGGCAACTTAACGTTTGAGTTTTGGGGGCTCCAAATCATAGGACTTGAAGGGGTCCTAGAAATCACTGGATCTAAGGGTGCCTGGGTGGCTCAGTCGGTTAAGTGTCTGTCTCTTGATCTGAGCTCAGGTCTTGATCCCAGAATCATGAGTTCAAGCCCCGCATGGGGCTCCATGCTGAGCCCAACTTAAAAAAAAAAGGAAAGAAAAAAAAATCACAAGATCCAATTATCAACCCAGGACTTCAGTTTTTCTCCCGGGTAGTCCCTTCCCGGTGGTCACCAAACTCTGTTTGGACACCTCTAGTAACAAGCAACTCATTGTCTCCTGAGGCAGGGAGCACCTGCTTGTCCCTTTAAGGGGAAGATGGGATTCAGGGCTTATGCTAGGGTAAGTGGAGGCAGCATCTTGAATAGTGTAACTTCACATTAAAACATACTACCCACCCCACCCCACTAGACTGGTCCATTCCGGGGCTGTCTGCCCACCGAGGCCTGAGGTGTCCTTGATGGGGTCAAAGCGTTTTCCTTTTCAAGGTAAAGGTCAACCTGTCCATGCCTCCCACATAGACTTCTCACTGAGAGAGAAATAACTAGTCCCAGATTTTCTGAAAGGCAACTTTAAAAAGTCTTTCAGTCGAGGTGTGGAGTGAAACAAGGGGAAAAAAAGGCCCTGGGGAGTGCGGCTGAGGGAAAGTTCACAGAAAGGCAAGGCCAGGCACATAAAAGACAAACTTTGCTGACTTCACGTTTTCATCTTGGCCAAGCCCCGACACCAGCGCAACCACGTAGCCTAAAAGTATCTCACCCTCAATCATCACACTCCATTTTTGAAAAGACACTAAATACTCATTTGTTTACTTGCTGTCTCACAAACATTTTCCTGTCACCGCACTTTCTCAGCGCCACAATCTAGCTCAAGTGGAAAGTTAAAGCCCCGTGGGCCCCTGTGAGCATTTCGAGGCTCAGATTCCCCATTGGGGCTCTGTGACTTACACCCTCACATCTGGCAACCGAGCTGAGGCTGCAACAAGACGCTCAACAGTGCCAACACCGATTCCTCCCGGGGAAGAACGGAAAAGGAAGGGCCCTGTAGAAAATGGAGTCCAGTAACGGGACTTGGATGATCAGATGTAAAGATACTACTGTGTTCTTCCCTTGTATTTAGAGTCCAGAGTGATGGTGTGAGCTAAGTCGCCCTCTGAATGTGATCTCATGGCTTTTGCTCTTGGCTGCTGCCTCAGACTCTTTGGGTGACCTCATGCCAGCCAGTTAAGCCTTGTATTCAGGATCTTTAAAATGGCAGCCGTAGCCATTATGACCTTCCTGCTTGTGCTGAGGGCTGTCCCTGTTCACTTCTTTGAGTACCTCTAGCTTCCCCCAGTTGCTGAGTGAAAAGAAACCCCTTAAAAAGTGTTGCATTTGCCTTTGAACCCCGGCATCGCTGGGAGATTACCTGTGTTTCCTATCTGCTGATTAAATAAATACAGGCCATGCAAGGCAACCAGCAAGAAGAGAATTTCCTCATCCCATTGTCAGGGACCAAAAAACCATGTCCGAGGGTCTCTTCGTGGTCTGGAATTCCTTCCCAAGGTCAAACTGACTCTTACCATTTCCTAAGAGATTTCAGGCCAATTTTATCCTGATACACACCATGCTTTGTGTTTAATAATATTCTATATACCAGTTCCCAGGGTAGAAACTTCTCCCCATTCAGCATTATTTGTCAATACCTGTCAAAGGCAAGGAGGCTGGGGTCACAGGAAAGGTCAGCAGCACAGCCTCTGGTCTGGAGAGAGCACTGCAATGGAGATAATAAGGCCCAGATTCTGCTGCAGGCTCACCCCTGGGCTTTCTGGGCTGTCAGCTCATCTGTCTGAGCCTTGGACTCCCAATCAGTATGATGGAATTAATGACAGGATCTAAGTCTGTGTGATAATCCTCACCAGGAACAGGCGATAGAGTCATGACAGGTGCCCGATGAATGATGCCTCTGAAACCCCACACCACATTTCCTGTCAAAATGACCTTTTGCAATGATTCTTATTTTAGGATATAATGCTAAACAAAGAGATGAAGAAAGAAAATAGTGTTGCAATGCAAAAAGGTAGGTGCTATTTACTAACTTTTTATAAATACTTAAAAACTAAAAGGAAGCTCTCGGCTGATTATACTGAATGGCCCAGTTGATGAATTAGGGAACTTTTTAGCCCCGGAAATAAAACAAGAATACAATGGCCAAATCGATACCTTCTCTAATGCCTGTGATTTGGGAAGGCTTTGTTTCTACACGTCTATGGGGAAGGCCGTGTGCCTGTAACGCTGACAATACCAAGTATGAAGAAATGCCGATATTTTCAGTATCTTAATCAAAGCAACCATACAGCATGGCCCCACTTACAGAGGATAAGAGGACCAGGAAGTCATCATTTGGTAGCAGTGGCATTCATCGCTCAGCGATAACAGGTTTTCATGGGGGACCATGGCCAGTGGAACATCTGGGATCAAGGAATGATACCGTGTGACAACGTTCTATTCTTTGCCCTGTTCCTGATGCCAGCACATCTCAAACATCTCAGGGTTGGAAAGGATCTTGAGTGGAAGGGTTCTCAAATGTAGCACCACCCACAGAATATGAATCTCCTTCACAACAGCACTGACCATCAGGCCCCTGCCCTGATGTGCCTAGGTACCTTCTATCTCGTTAATCATCCGGGGCCATTTTTAAATGGCTCTACTAATTATAATAAGATTGCTATCCTACTTGAGAGAAATTTCTTCTCCTCTGGAGTTGAAAGTCGCTCCTGGCATCTCCACTCGCTGGACCCACTTCTGCTCTTTGGGACCATACTGAGCAAAGTAGAACTCTTCTTCTTATACAGCAACTGTCCACATGCTGAAAACGACAATCATGGCCCCTGAGCGTTTTTTTCTCCAGGTTAAATGTCCGCAGGGTCTTCCACTGTTCCTCCTGTGACACTTCTAAGGCCTTTCCTCTCCCAGCCACCTCCTTTTCTGGACACTCCAACTTTCCCTGTTCCCCATAGCACCCCAAAACAAACACAATAATGTCTGGAGTGGGCCAAGCAGCCGACTATGGGAGAGAGGGAGTTTTGGTGGATGGGGGTTGGTGGACTGTTACTCACAAAGTCAGTGAAAATGACTTTGCTATGCTATGGCTTCTGTAACTTTATGCATACAAGGAAATATATATATACAGAGATACAGATACTGTCTTCTGAGGCGAAGAGAGTACTCAGCGCTTGCTGTTGCTCTGGATGCATTGGGTCATCTGATTTCCATGAAGGTTCTGTCTTCAAAATGACTGTAAGATATGTTGAGTGGCACCATCTTGTCTGTTACTTACAGCGAGATTTGAGGAGACGGTTCACATGGATGTTGCCTAGAAGTCTTCAGGGAAAGGATTAGCTTGAGGAAACTGGTTATGTAGGTCATGCAATTCGATCCAATATTTATAGGGCACCTACACGGTGTCTGACATCAGGCTCATGACTGGGAAAAGAAGGAACTTCCCCATAGTCTCTGCACTCAGGAGATCAGCATATCTGATTAAAAAGTAAGCTTTTAACACAAGAAACAACTCGAGACAGGTACAATTGTTTGGCCAGTTGCTTGACCACATCAGACACCATGAGCATCACACCAGCTAAGTGCACAGACATGACCTTGGTGCCCAGTGAGATTCCCAGTGGATGGGAGCTGTTTCCAAAGGCAAGCTTCCAAATATGTTTAATAAAGACCAGGAGTTTTAGCCAGAATCAATGTAGGCAAAGAGGAGCTGAGTGCCAAAGAGCCTGTAGAAGAATGGTATCAGTGCCAAGAGCCAGTTCAGGTGTCCAGATTCTAGAAACCAACTTTTCCCTGTGACAGAGACTTCAGAGCACTTTACCTTCCCTTTTGGGTAGCGTGTTGAAGCCTAGTCTCCCTTACATAGCTGCAGAACCAGATCAAATGACCCGGTGGGCAGTTTTGTCTTGCTTCGGCCTGACAGTGGGCTCTTGGTTTCGTTTCAGGTGATCAGGATCCTCGAATTGCAGCACATGTCATAAGTGAGGCCAGTAGTAACCCAGCATCTGGTAAGTCCAAAGCATTGGACTCAGTCCTCCAAGCGGGAAGGCTGGGATGTTAAAACGGGACAGCCTAATGATCAGGCCCCTCTCTTCCTCCGGGGCCCAATTTACAAACCCACTCAGACACCTCCCGTATGATCTCCTTTGTCTTCAAAGGGAGCTCCAATGCACAGATGGGACTTGAAGGGACAAAAGGAAGTGGGAAGCAATCCCGGTGTTCTCATTATGTTCTTGCTCAATGGCCGATTCTAAGTGATGAATTGCTGGGTGGCGGGACCATTATTCTGACAACTAGAAGAGGTGGCAGGTAGTGACCTCCTGACCGGGAGCATCCCTCACGCCAACCCCTCTTCACCGTGCATAAATGGGCCTCAGGGGGCATTTCCTGCCATCTGTCAATCCCCGTATGATTAACCCCAGGCTCGCTGGGGCCAACCTCAGGGAAATTAAAGGTAAAATCATTCTGCAAAGATCAATAGGTGCCAAGACGTTAGATTTTCCAATGAAGTAACGACAGACGATGTACTGTAATCTTTGCGACACTGAATGATTTTATTTCCATATATGTGCTGCCATCAGCCTAGCTCTTAGATCTTTGTCTCCCAAACCCGCACCTTGAGATAGCTGGTACCAGAGAGTGTGTTGCAGCTGACAAACGGAGGGAAATGTGCACACGAGCACGAAACCGCCTCCCTCTACAAATGCAGTCCGAGGGCATCAGCACAGTCTTGGAACAAATGTAGCACCGTGCTCCAGAACGGAGTTCTACACAGTATGTGTGTGTGAGAGAGAGACAGACACACACCCACAATGAGAGAGAGACAGAGATAGAGACAAAGAGAGAGGAAAGGAGATACCACCTCATATCTGAGGCATCTTGGGCTTCTCAGTGGGTGTGACACATAAATGACTATTGAGAGCCCTGGATAAGAAGTATTTGAACCCTAAGATTCCAGGACTGTGACTACCACTTGCTAGATGACCTTGGGCCAGTGCCTTTACTGAGGTTTCCTACCTCATTGACTCACGGGGTGACTCTCAGCATTGCCTCAGCTAATGTGGAAGTAGGTCATACTGTCGTGTGCTATACAAATGTTAGGTGTCGTTCCTTAGCTTACTTTACTGTACTTGAGATGTTGGAAGAGTAGCATAAAGCCCTTCATTCATACTAGGTATTCCTACAATATTTAATAATTCTGCCACGTAGCCATTCTCAGCAAATGCACTTGTGGAAGAACAGCACAACTATATGGGCGTGTCCAAGGTGGCTGATCGCGTGACACGTGCACATCCAGACTGCAACAGAGCCGCCACCCGGAAGAGTAGCTTCCCACTGGTCCTTGTCCACCTGTACATAAACCCTTGCCCTTGGATATATTTCATGGTGCCCAATGGCCTATGATCGATATTGGTCCTGGCATAGTTCCTCGTCTGCATCACAGGAGGCTCACAGGGAATCAGGTGCAAGGACAGTAACATTCTTCACCCCACCCCAGTCCCAAAGCCCTCTCTCCTGCCTGGTCATGCTGCCACAGACTTGACCTGGATCCCACAGTAAGGACAAAGATTAGGTAAAAGCGCTTGTGAAAATAATGTTAGTGGACTGAAAGAGAACGTGCCCTTGTTTTCCCAAAGGGTCCAAAAGTGAAAACCCCATAAAGAAGTGTCCTTTCTGGAGTGGTCTGAAGGGCCACGAAATGTCAGACACTTCAGGACGCCTTTCCTATTACCAAAGGAGGAGTCACGACAGGTTGAATCTTACACCCGGGTAGACCACCAAATGGGAATTTTAGAAAAAGAGCTCAAGGAAGCAAATGATTGATACTTTCACTTCTCCCCAGCCCCCACAGCCAGCAGTCTAGCTCTCTGTGGGAGCTGAGATTTGAAATCGGGCGCACACACTACTTTGAACCCACTCAACATCTCAGCCGAGAAAACGGTACACTGTTGGTGGGTACTTGGGTTCCGCCACAAGAATACAGATACTTTCAAGTTGGTGACGCCCCACTACAATGGAAGATCAAAACACACAGTGCAATGACAGGTTTATTTTCATACTTCCTTGCCTAATTTTAGTCCTTGCTGTGGGAGGCAGGTCAGGTTTGCAACAGCACGATCAGGGAGGAAGAAATGGGGTCCTTCTTCTTGTCAGCTGAGGCTGAGCTAGATAGACTGGTCAGCTCTTGGACTTCGTGAAATCCAAGGAAAGCAGGAGAGCAGTGTTCCTATTAGCGACGGTGTTGTCTGAATAGTTTAGCATGCATGATTTAGGACTTGGAATTCTGAAATCGCTCACACCTTAAAGTTCAAGGGCAAATTGGCTTTAAAAGCTCTAAAGGAAGAAGGAAACTCACTGCGTTCGGTTGCTGTATTTTAATCTTCAAAACAAGTCTCTGACTTGCCCCCGTGTTACAGACGAGGCACTAAAAAGCTCAGGGAGAGTAAGTGACTTGCGCAAGCTTGCATGGAGCGTGGATTGGAACCCGGCTCCATCCAACCGTGATGCTCATGCTGATTGTCAATCATCCTCCGTGGACGGAGGACCCTAAGGGTCCTTAAGGGTCCTTACCACCCCAAACTTACATTCGTATCAGCAGCCAGTGTCCCATATTAAACTCTCTGCTGTGTCAGAATGCGAACCATATACCTTCATCTCACCACAAATCTCCCCTCTCCTTACAGTTCTCCAGTGGGCCCCCAAAGGATACTACACCATCAGCAGCAACTTGGTAACCCTCGAGAATGGGAAACAGCTGGCCGTTAAAAGACAAGGACTCTATTATATCTATGCCCAAGTCACCTTCTGTTCCAACCGGGAAGCTTCGAGTCAAGCTCCATTTATAGCCAGCCTCTGCCTGAACTCGCCGAGTGGATCCCAGAGAGTCTTACTCAGGGCTGCAAATCCCCGCAGTTCCTCCAAACCTTGTGGGCAACAATCCATTCACTTGGGAGGAGTTTTCGAATTGCATCCGGGTGCCTCGGTGTTCGTGAACGTGACTGACCCAAGCCAAGTGAGCCACGGGACTGGCTTCACGTCTTTTGGCTTACTCAAACTCTGAACGGTGGCCCCTCGCAGGCCGCGGCTGAGCTCACGCTGGTGGTCGTCGTAGTACAGCAAAGCATTTAAGACCACCCCCTGTTGAACTGCCTATTTATAACCCCTAGGACCCTCCTCGCGGAGAACTATTTATTATACACCCCAAGGCATGTAGGGCTGCGAGAAGCGCATCGCGGGGCCGAGCAGCCCAAGCAGGCCCCGTTCGGTAAGAGTTTCTATTCTGAAGCAGCAAGCCCCACTGAGGCAGACGTCCAGAGAGCCCCATGAAAAGACGAGACCATTATGCACAGATTGAATTTGGAGTAAAGAGCAGATAATCAGTCAAGTTCAGTTTTGTTTCTTTGCATGCAGTGTCTTTCCGTGGATAATGTCTTTGATGTATCAGTGAAGCTGCAGAAGGGGAACAGGGAGCCTCAGCTCACGTTCAATCACATGCTTGGCTCCAGGTCCCTGTGCGCCCCCCACCCCCCATGGAGGGGGCAGGCTCTAGAAAGTCTGATGCAGTGGAGAACTGAAAAACTCTGCCCCCACCAGCCTCCGCCCTCTCGACACTCATTCTCTCCCTCCTCCGCCCCCTCGTCCACACAGGCTGTTGCGAATCGGTTCTCTTACTTCAACCCGGTCCCGTCTCCACCACCGTAGGTGGGAGGAGCGAGAGGGGCAGAAGCTGTAAGTCTGCCCACTCCTCCTCCCGAAATGACTGTATTTAAAGGAAATCTCTCGTATCTACCTGCAGTCTCCATTGTTTCCAGAGTGAACTTGTGATTATCTTGTTATTTATTTTTTGAATAATAAAGAGCCCTTAACATTACTGTTGTGATCCAGCCCCTCGGGCCCTCCGCCACCCGGATCGGGGGAAGGGGGAATCCTTCCGAGGGTCTCTTCCGGACCTTTGTGATGTTTTCACAAACTTGATACTCAAGCTCTTTGCACCACGAAGCATCTTGGTTGACTGCACAGTCCCCGGAGGTCTGCGATAGCCTTTGATGAATGACCTGAAGCTCGTTCAGGGAAGGGCAGTCGGGGTCTTCATTTCCAACCTGCTCTGGAAAGGCCGCAGGAGTTTATAAAGAGACATTTTCCCCTCCTTGATCAATCACAGCTTAGCGAGGCTAGAGGGAGGGCCTGAGATGAGAAGCAGTTGCTTATCTTTTTAATAGTTGCCTAGGCGGGTCTATCGCAGGGGACAGAGAATAGCTATTTTGCACGTAAGAGACCCAGAGTGGCTGATTTGCTTAAGGCCAGCACCACAGGTTCGAGTAGAAAAATATTGCTGTAGAAATAAGAAAGGGGAATGAGGAGGGGTGGGGTCTGCTCTGCCCACTGCCCCTGCTCTCGGGTCCTATGGACCCCGCCCTTCTTGGCTGAGTGACTTTGAAGACGTTTTAGCATGACATTTTTTTAAAAAAAATTTCAATGTGTGTTTTTGAGAGAGGGAGAGAGAGAGAGAGAGTGCCAGTGGGGGAGGGGCAGAGAGAGAGGGAGACACAGAATCGGAAGCGGACTCCAGGCTCTGAGCTGTCAGCACAGAGCCGCTGGTGGGGCTCGAACTCACAACCAGGGAGATCAGGACCTGAGTTGAAGTCGGACGCTCACCTGACTGAGCCACCCAGGCGCCCGGTGCCTCTTTAACACAAGGCTGGAATCACGCTAGATGAACTTGCTCGGCTGTGTACTTTCTGTGACCAGAGACCTTTGGCGGGAGCAAAGGTGACATTTGCTGATTTGGGGACTCACCTATGGATCCGTCCACAGTGCTGCCTTGTCCTCCGGAGCAGAGATCCTTCTTCAGCACCATCCTCTGCCTGAGACGCTTGAAGGAGGCGGGGCAGCCTCTATGACAGCGAGGAGACATTGCTCATGATACTCTTATCGGTGCGAGGCTCCCTTAGGAGGGTCAGGACCCCAGACCCAGCTGAGAAAAGGGCTTGGCCTGGTCCAGGGGAAAGAGGCCATACACGGGCCATGACTCTCCTTCCCTCGTGGTAGCTAAGTGCTCACTTTGGGGCACGGCCCTACTTCCTGGCTTGCCTGGCAGAGACGTGGAGGCGGGGGCGGGTGAGAGGCATTACCCCTTTCATATGGTTCCTGCAAAGGGGATCCATGTCCAGCCCGGACAATACGTTTAGTCTTTGGATCCTCACCTCCCTTAGTTTAAACATTGCCCCTGCCCTTCACCCCACCTTCTTCTTTGGGAATGATGTCTCCCCATTTTCTTGGCCTCTGGCTCCCAAGTTGCTGATGAAATCTATTATCAGAAGGAATGCTATCAATACAAAAACCACATTTTCTGGTCTATTTCTTCTGCTCCCATACCTCCTACTGCTCACTAAAGGACACCTCCCGTAGCTCCCGTCCAGAACTTTCTTTCCCCTGAGTGTCAGCTTCACCAAGCCAACTGCCTTCAGTCTCTCAGACGACTCCCCCATGAGGCCACCTTGTCCTTTCCAAGAACTCCAGGTCCCATCTTTTACCCTCTTCTCTTCCTGTTCTACATGCTCACAGGGGGCCATCTGCCCCGCTCTCCCAGCTCATGGATTTAAGCAGCACCTTCAGGCCTATAGCCCTGACCTGCCCCCCTAGAGTCTGTCCCCGGCTGCCTGTGTCTCCACATGGTGGGCCCAGGTCCCCCAACCCAATGGTTCCAAAGGGAACTCTTGACCCCTCTTCGGACCCAGTGAAATTCGCGTTTAGTGTTTCCCATTCCAGCGAAAGGCAGCCTCCCTTAACGGCAGCCTCATCTCCCTGGCTTCCCCAGCCAGACACCTGGCTTGACTCCTTCTCACTGTGCTCACTCCCTGTCCAATCCTACTGGCATAAACACAGTCAACCCAACTTCCAAAACAGTTCCTAAATTAATCCACTTATTTCTATCATGGCTGCCACGATCTTAAGTCCACGTTACTGTCAGCTGTCTTCCGGAATGCTACTCCAGTCTCCCAGCCACCTCTGCCTCCACTCTTGCTCCCTAACATTTGTTTTCCATGCACGGCCAAGGTGAATTCTTTAATAAAAGTCTGATTTCTCCACTCCTCTGCTTCTGCAGCTCCTGCTGATAGGTCTCTCAGCGTCTTAAGTTCGAACCCTCAGTTCTGCATGTTGTTTGCTCTTCTTGAAACACCCCTCCTCCTCTCCAACTACACCCTGCATTAGCTTCACAGCACGTAGCCAAGTCGAAGTTTTTCCTATTATTCTGTGAGCTTTTTGAGGACCAAGACCTTGTCCTGTCCACCTGTTCATGGTGACTTCAGTGTCTATCACAAGGGCCTGACATAGAATTGGCCCTTTATTCACTGCATGGAGAAAAAAAAATGAATGAATAAATAAATGCAGCTGCTTATCACTCAGTGAAGAAGCTCATGAAATAATTCTGGGTGTTGGGTAAAGGAAAAAATTTGCAATACTGTAAAAATAGTTGATGTCGAAAACATTTCTAGGATAAAAATGTCCTCAGGGAGTAGAGAATGAGAATTACAGTGTAGATAAAAATAAATAATCTATTTCTATGGGGCGCTTGGCTGGCTCAGTCAGTAGAGCATGCAACTCTTGACCTTGGGGTCATGGGTTCGAGCCCCACATTGGGTGTGGAGAGTACCTAAAAATAAAATCTTTAAAAACTAATCTGTTTTTATGACATAGTTCATGGTAGTTAGCAAAATAGTACATAAAGTTTTCCAAACTTGAACATTTTCAAAGTTGTTCTAATAAGTGATGAGGACATGAGTACATTTCTGATCTGCCTATAACATTCTGATTATAAATTATCTAACGTCATTCCATTTTTATCAAGATGTTACTTTTACTTTCCATCCAAGGGTTGGGGGAGGGAATGCTTGAAATGCCCAATATTTTTTATTTCCAGAGAAAGAGAAAACGAGCAAAGTGTGAAATATTACAATCTCTGTTACTTGGTAGGAAGCAAATGTCTACAAAATGCTGTGTGTCCCTAAGTCTGGGGCACCCCCCCCCTTCAAGGAAGACAACAGGGACCCTCTTGGGCTCCAGGAAGGAACACACTGTGTGTTGGATTACACTATTTCCACAGGGCCTGATACCCCTGTAAGCCACATTGCCTTAGGCCTTTAAAGCAGTCTGAAGTTCTCTGAGACACAGAGACGTGGAACATGGAACTAAGTACAATTTTTTTCTCTGTGAAACACATCTCCAGTTAAAAAACAACAACAACAACAACAACAACAACAACAACAACAACAACAACAAAAAACAGCAGGGGAGCCTGGGTAGCTCAGTGTCGGAGTAGTTCAGACTCTTGATTTCGTGCTCACAGAAGGTGGCCTCGGTGTGTGGTTATTTGCAACATCGGCTCACTCAGCAAACACTGAGCAAGTACTATGGGCTTGACCCTGGATCAGGCCCTGAATTTACAAAGAGGAAAGGAGACAAGCTCTCCTCTTAAAGTACTTTGCATTTAGCGTGGAAAAAGACACGAGCAAATAAAGTGGATGCAGGGACATAAAAACAGGGTGTCAGAATCTGGATTCCCTGAGGAGGCAATCAATACTTGAGCTTTTTTTTTTTTTTTTACAAGTTATTTCAAAGTTACAGAAAGATTGCAAAAATAATAATATAAATACCAAGTGTATCTTTTTTCTGAACCATTTGAGGTTTGGTACATCATGGTCTTGCCCCTGAATACTTCAGCGTGTATTTCCTAAGAAAAAAGATATTCTTGTTTATAACCACAGCCCAGGTGAGCTTCAAATAACACAGGTTTTAAGCATGTGGGTGCACTTACATGCGGATTTTTTTTTCAACAAATAGGGTACAGGACTACAAAAGTATTTTCTTTTCCTTAAGATTTTATTAATGATGCTTTCTTGGTTGTAAGAATACAGTGTATGATACATCCAACATACAAAATATATGTTGACTGCATGTTACTCAGTAAGGCTTCTAGTCAGTAGTAGGCTGTTGGTTTAGTTTTGGGGGAGTCAAAATTATACGTGGATTTTTGTACGGGGGAGAGGTTGGCAACCTTACCCCCATGTCATTCAAGGGTCAACTGAACACTTAGTCAACTTCTGTAAATTTAACACCAATACCGATCTGCCATTTGCATTGCTGAAAATTGTTAAGTGATACAATAATATCCTTTATATCATTTTTCCCATCCAGTACAGTATCCAGTCTGGGGCCAGGTATTAAATCAAGTTGTTATGTCTCTTTAGTCACCTTTAATCTGGGACATTTCCACAGCCTTTCTTTGTATTTAATGACATTGCCATTTTTAAATAGTAATCTCTCCCCTTTAAAACAAAACAAAAAAAATGTTCCAGGGGCACCTGGGTGGCTCAGTTGGTTTAGTGACATGCTTCAGCTCGGGTCATGATCTCACAGTTCATGGGTTTGAACCGCGAGTCGGGCTCTGAGCTGACAGCTCAGAGCTTGGAGCCTGCTTTGGATTCTGTTTCCCTCTTTCTCTGGCCCTCCCCCACTCATGCATGTGAGCACACGCTCTCTCTCTCTCTCTCTCTGTCAAAAATAAATAAACATTAAAAAAAAAAAGAATGTTCCTTATTTTGAATCTGTCTGATGTTTCCTCATGGTTAAATTCCGGTTATGCTTTCCTGGGTGGAAAACTACATGCATGATGTTGTGTTCTTCCCAGTGCATCCCATCTGGAGGCACACGATGGCCATCTGCTGCCTGTCATCGTAGATGTGAATTCTGATCACTCGGTGAAGGTGTTGTCCAAGGTCTCCATTCTATGGTCACCATTTTCCCCTTTGTAA